GGGCTGGGCTCAGCTGGGGAGGGCAGATAAATGGCAGCAGGGATGCCTGTGCCAGCTGCAATTGTGGGGAGGGTGGGGGTGGAACTACTTTGCTCTGTTGTCGCTGTCCTCTCTCCAGCTGGGCCAAGCCTTTACTCAGCTCAGCTGGCCTGAAGCTTCCTCAGCCCACAACAGTAGAGAAAGCAGCAGTGGCAGGCAGGGAGAGGTGAAGAGGAGAGGAGAGGAGAGGAGGGGGCTGCCTCTGAGCAGGAAGGGAATTCCATTTGCTTTAGGGGTTTTAAAAAGTCCCCAGATGCTCCCATGATGTGCTGGAGAGCCCCCACATGGGCTGGGAGCAGAAGTAGAAGAGGCTGGGAGCAGGGGGTACACCCACCCCTGCAATATAGGCTGCTGCTCCCGCACCTGTTTGGGAAATCCTGGATCTGCCCATGGGAGCAAAGACAAATCTATAAATTCTTGTGAAGTCTCAGCTATTATCATGTTGGGGACTATGTTGTTATATGTGCAGATGAAAGAAAAAAAGGCAGGTATCTCTCTCCCAGCTCTTTATTTCAGTGTGACTCTAATTATTACTCACTACAGCACTTACTCGCTCTGTACAATGAACCCTGCTGGGAAAGTTTGTTACCTTCCATCTGTATTTGTGTTGACAAAACAAGATCCTAACTATAAACTGGGCTGCCTATACAAATTATTCAAGTAGTTATTTAATTCCTACTGAAATGCATGTTGTACTGTCTGGAATGTTAAATTTCTGAGCAAGAAAATTATAAAGGATTTTTACAAAAATTAAAAAAAAAAAAAAGCATTTAAAAATGAGCTCCAGTCATTATCTCTAAGTCTTTAATGCAATTTACATAAAACACTGTCTAAACCCAATTTTTAAGGAAGAACTGGATCCTTTATATTTAATATAGGATGTGATGTGATGTGATGATTACTACCACAAACTATCTCACTTAAATTAATGGAATACTAATGATAGAAAGAACTGTACCTGGTGCATGGGGGACAATTGCCTAGGTAGTTAAACAGAAGGTAAAAGAGTTGGCCTTAAAAGTTGAGCCTACTGTATAGAAGTTCTTTAGGCTAATTTTCATAGATCTACAGTATTCTTCAGAACAGTGAAATGAATGGTCACTGAGCAGCATACATTCTGCAGGTCAGACAGGTGCGTTTATTATAGCTCGTACTGAACTGTCTAGGTCCTCACTTATGCCAGAATTCTTACACAGGTACATTAATTTTAAAGCCTGGGTTGCAAGGTATGAAGGCGGCTTGATTTTGTCCCATTGCTCATTAGAAGGGAAGTTTAAACATCTCTGAAGTCTGTCAAACAGATGCTGAATCTTTATTTTGCAGGCAAACAGCAGTAGTTCTTCACAGGGAAATTTTGGTGATGGAAGTTGACTACTCTGCCTCACCTTAGAGGGAAAGGAGGAGGACAGGCAAGGAGTTAACACAATTCCCAACTACATGCTTCTCTTTAATAGACTAATCAATAGTTCCTAGCTGATCCTAGAAAAATCACACTTCAGCAGAGAGGCACCTGAAAACAAAACCTTCAAGCCAGTCGGCAAGTTTCCACCCAGTAATGGTGTTCTCCCAAACTTGTAGAGGGAAAGGCTCAAAGCATGTCATACATGCTGAGCTCTTGCTCGCTGCAGGCAACCTTTCGTGCACCTACAATGTATTTTATACTACCTGCCAGCAATGTGCACTGCCTAAAACTGTTTAATATTTTATTTCAGTCACAGACATCCCTCTGCCCACCCCTTGCCTGACTCCAACAGAGGTGTAGGCATTCTGGGGCGAGCCATACAGTGACAGGTGTGTGCTCTCTTCTCCCCCATTCCATTCCCACTGCAGATGAGTCCTCTAAGAAGCACCAGCTATCTACAGGGGTAGTGTTTAGGGCTGCCATAGACCCAACTGTGTGCTCGTGTTTTGTGGGAAGGCAGTGGGGTAGAGGAGGCACTTGAGGCCCATTTGAGAAATAGATCAGCAGAAGAGATGTTTTTGCACAAGAGAATGAAAATGATTTCCAACTGGGAACATTTCCCATAGCTCTTGCTGAGATTAGAGTCTTTATTTGGAATTATCAGTTAACAATCCTTTAATTGCAGTATGATGAATGATTGCTGTTCAAGCCAGATGAATTGGGGATTTGAAATGAATGAAGCATATGGAATTCAAGAATTCTGTCAGATTTCAAAGTTCACAAATACAGTTTAATTGCTAAGAACTTCTAAAGATTTGAGTTGTGTTGCCCTTTTCAGGTAAAATCCCTTTATTCACCTCTCTCCTTCCTTAAAACGTGTTGGAGAGACTATCCAGTTCCTTCTAGCTGCTGTACTTCAAGGTAGGAGGGATGCATATGTGTGTGAATAAATACCTGCACTTTTGTTCCCACGATGAATTTTGCTTGTTGCCCCATGGCTAGAAAAGAAATCATAATCTTGTCTTGTCCATATATCCTGACACCAAGATACTGGTTCAGGGATATAAAAATGGGTTTAAATGGAATACGAGATCCAGAAGGTTTCAAATGGCTTGGCCAGGTCCACACCCTCACTCTGTTGCCAGCTTGATCTAAGTAATGTCCTTCCTCAATGTTAATGTTTATCCTAAGCAAGAAGGGAAAAATATCAATAAAACAAGACTGGTAAGTAACACACAATGCATTGCTGTTGCTATTACAGCTTGGCCCTACCCTGCATACCTTGGATTTGAGTGATTCTGGAAGCAAAGGGTCTGTTCACATGAGCAGGAGTTTGGAGAATAAATAATGAAGGGTCTGTATCTACGCTACTGAAGTCAATGGGAGTCCTACTCTTGTGGAGGAAGATGAAAAGCTGCTTTATGGGTTCATCTCGGTAGGGTACTGCCAAGTGCTCAACTCCCATGGAAATTAAAAGCTGTTCAGAGCAAGTCGGCATCTTGCAGGGTTAAGCCCTAAATACCTAAAAGTAGAAAACTGGGAGACTTCAGCTGCATCAAGTGTTTTCTTCCCTTTACTTCATCACAGCTTAAAGGTCTTTGCAGATCTGACAGTGCCACTATTTTAGGCAAATGTTTTGATTCTTGGGGCAGAGAGGAAGGAGTTGAATTTGATATTAGTTTCTCCCTTAAATTGTCTCTCTCCATGGCCTCCCATGCCTCAGACAAGAGAAGCCAGTGGACAAGGGAGGGCCTGGGCTGAACAAGAGTGTAAATGTTGGTGGTCTGTTCATCTGCTTACTTTCCTGTTGCTGCAGGGGTACTTCTAGTTTCACCCCTGATTTAGCAAGCTGTGCAGATCATGCAACGATGGGCTCTGTGCCTGTGAGAGTCTTCATCTGCACTGAACTTCAAGCAGGATAGTGCTTATTCAACTCCATTACTATTAATGGGGTGTGCGTGCACAAGATTAACACACAAGTCTTTGAAAGATTGTGGTCTAAGAACGTAAATAAAACTGTGGTGAGAAATGCCTGAGCTAGATGTTGGCCTTTTATCTATCTATCTATCCATCCATCCATCCATCCATCTATCTATCAGTACTGTTAAAACATGTCTTCCCGATCCACGCAGTACCAAAATCGTGGCAGGTGCCAATCGGCAAGAAGAAATGACTGAGTGCACCTGAACATACCATATAGTCCCATTGGGATGATAGCAAGTGCTTTTACCACTGGACTCAAACACTGCTTGGATTGCTGCATTAGTTGGCTTGTCTTCTTGTACTATGCAAATCAAACCTCCTTTCTTGTTCACAACGATCACCGCCAGATTTCCAGATGGATAGCTACACTTGGATAAGGAACTCAGTCTGTGGTGGGCGAGTAGTCTGTAGTGGTATTACATAGTATTAAATATTTCAGAATGTTGATTTCACAGCACTCCAAGTGACATTTCCTTGATTACTGTTTTCATGCCAGTCACTGGTATTTTAATTGGGGGAATCTTTTTCTTTTTACTATAGTGTGTGTCAAGCCCTGCATACAAGCTATCTGCAGCCTACTAGGCAGGGTGGAAGATTCTACTGTGTTTATCATTTAAATATATATGGTTTTCCATTAAAAATATACCTGGTGTTTATAGTGAATGCAAAGCAGAGGGAGCAACTCATGTGATCAGAATGGTAGCAGAGAAAACCCTGGAGGGAGAACTGTGGTGGGGTCGTTCCTTTTCAGGGAAATCTTAGAACACCCCAAAACCAAACAGATCCACAACCTTTGCTCCTCATACTTGGTACCATCTGAAAAACAAAATATCTGCTCAACAGGAATACCATAATGGGATTAAATTAACATGCCTCATGCACAGTTATGGCACCATGTAATTTGGCATTAGTAGTAGTTCTATTTATTACTACCACTACTACTAAACGTTGCCCTGAGGATAGATGGGTCTGGGTGGGGAATGCCAGCACAGGAAGACCTCTGTTAACTTTGACAGAATGTTAATATCCCTTCTCACGTGTAACTGAGGTAGAAAGATAAGAGTGCAAGGAAAGTCACATGAAGGAACTTAATGCATTCTACCCATATACTCTGAAGACTATGGAGAGGTGATTATAATTCTGCTGGTTTTAAACAATTCTTGATTGTGGCTTGTTTATTGGCTGTCATAGCTCTTACTTGCTCTTTGTTGCAAAAGGTTAATCTTAGATTTACCATTCCAACTCATTGTTAAAAACATACTTTTAAAAGGTGACCAAAGTAAATTAGTCTTGTGAAGGATACAATAATTGGGATGTCCCATCTGGAAATAAGGTAAGAAATTTTCCTCCGTGCCTGTAATACTTTTCCAGGAACTGGTTCTTCGCTAACTGTGGGCAATTAAAAGGAATTTTTTTTTTTTTAAAAGCTGAAACTGTCACAAGCATCATTGTTAATTGAACAATCTCTCAACCTTTGTACAATATCTGTCTTTTATCTTTTGCATACCTGGGTTCTTCATTGAAGTGCAGAGGTATAACAGCATCTCTGCACCTGGGGTAGCACTGGTAGCTGGTGATGACAACACTGTGGCTGGTTGGCACCTATGGCTTCTATTTTTGCCCCCACTCCCTCCAGGTGGGTGCCCTGCGCTGTTGCCCTGATTACCCCTCCCCCTCCCCCCCGCCCAAACACCTTTCTATTGATGCAGCAAAGCCTGGGCCTGGACATTTAAGTTCTTCATTTGGTAGTTAAAACACTGTACTGTAGCTTTGTTTCCTCTCCCCCACCATGTATTACTTGTTTTGGTCTGTGCCCCAAAGATGCTCCAGTCTAGGCTTCTATTATTCCCATGGAATTATGGAGCATACTGCTAAAGTAGACAGGCATGGAGAGGTTTGCAACATAGAGCTCCTGAGCCTACTGTCAGTGTTTTATCCACTACTGTGTTAACCAGTTACTTATCACTGCTAATTTCAGTCCTCAACAAAAGTTTGTGCTGTGTTCCTGCTTCAGGCAAAAGCTGATATAAAGAACAAACAGAAAGAGGCCAGAAGAAAAGGAAACTAGCTAGATTCTGCCTGCCAGGACATGCTTGAGTCTCTAAACTTTCAGTGGTTTCTGGCAGAGAAGCAAATGGAGAAGGTTCCTTGACTGGCCAATGTCCTTGTGCTAAAGGGGGATCAGAATACACAAGCTGATGGGGTAGCAGTCAACTGGGGAAAGGTAGCTAACCTCCATACATCATAGCGTTGTGAATCCTTGGCCTGATTCATGCAGGGGGTGAAATTCATCCCTATGCAGAGGACCAGCAAAAAGCACTGTGCAACATGTAAGTCCAACCAAAGCACTTCCTCAAGGTCTCAGCTGAACAGCTACTTGTCCTCCACAAAGAAGGGACTGCACTGTGCAAATGTCAGACCATCGAAGGGGATCTCTTGCAGTGAAACTTCAGGAGCTCTTTACCTTTCCACCCACTATGGTAAAGTCACAGCATGTAATACTGTAGTTAATATCCTCTCCCTCTTCTTTTTCAACTGTCTCATCAGATGGCAGAGTATAAGTTCCTGACCAGGGTGGCTCTCGGGAAAGCTGGTAGGAAATGGTGTTAAGTTGTTTTGAATCTGAGAAGTAAGCATAGGAGTTATACATTAGAGGTGGGGCTGGTAATGTTGTCTATAATGAGGCTTTACAACAGTTCCCATTATAAGACTCTCTTTACAGTTGATTATAATTGTGGAAAACTGTTCAGTATTGCCAGGTGTCAGATACAAGCTGATGTTTTTGTTTTTTGAAAAATGTAGCCAAAATGGTGTAGCCATTTCAGACAGCAAGACCAGGAAAATACATAGTTTAGCTTTTCTTAAATACAGGCAGTCCTCCACTTACAGTGTTTTGAGTTACAATGTTTCGCACTTACAACATTTATAAACTGACACCCTGTTTCAACTTTCTGACATCAGTTTTGACTTTACAACGCTTGATGCAATGTGACGCCACGCCAGTGAACAAGTTTGCTGTGTCACCCATCTTCCCGGAGAACATCTGTCCAAACTTCCTTGGACACTTTCTTCAAGAAAGCAGACAAGACTCCAGAAAAATCTACAGCCAAGACTCCTGTGAAGACTCCAGCCAAGAACCCTTCAAAAAGTCCAGCAAAGTCACCTCAAAGAAGTTCTTTCAAATCAATATGATTGCTATTTACAATATAAATACATTAATACAGCTATATTATTCACCTATAATCGATCGAGTACAAAATTCTGGGGTATTTTTGGTGAAAATAGGGGTAGCGGGCCTTGGTTCAGGGACAAATCCCCCATTTATAACATTGTTTCTTATGAGAAAATTGGTTCCGAGTTACAACATTTCGACTTAAGACACAGTTTTCAGGAACCAATCATGTCTTAAGTCCAAGGACTGCCTTTACTTCTGGTGATTATTTGCTTTGTAAGGTCCATAGTTTGGAGCATGGAACTGAAACATGAGCATCCTGAAAAAAATCAGGTCCTAGGTCTCATAGTGGGTACACAAAATTAGTGGATACTGTTGATCTAATTATCTGTGTCTGGATTCCCCATCAGGAAAACAGCAATAATACCACCCCTTGTCCCACAGGGAAATTAATTCCTATGTGTAAGGTACACAAATAGTGGACATCATAAGAAAAAAAAACTTGAGGAAAATTATTAATTTTGTCTTCAAAACAGTGCCTGGAGAGCATGCAGGAAATAAGGCCTGAGGCCAGACCTGGAACAATGAGGAGAGAATAAACTATTGAAGAGCTGTTCATTAACTGAGCACTGTGCATGCAATGCCTAAATGAGCCAGAGTTCCTGTGTTAAAATAGTATGTGATAATGTGACTAGACTCTCATCTAGTACATAAGGAAGACTAAATTAAGGTCAGCAGATGCAGGTACGTGCATAAACTTTTTGGCTTCCTTCAAGGATATGAAACTGGACATTTAACAGTAGGTGAAGCAGGAACTTGCATAACCAAACCATATTGTAATGGAGATATAAGTATGTTGAATTAATCCTTTATAATTGATTAGTCTTGTAGAGGGCTAGAATTGAACTGGTTATTCACCTTCAGCCTGGATGAGCAAGAGACAGGCAAGTTAATTTTGGCATTTCCTAACTTTCATGGAAAAATGAATTTTATAAAGTGAATGATGTTCTTTTAACGTGTGTGTGTGTGTGTGTAATTGTATATTGAAGAATTCAGGCATAAATGTCTGATGTCAAAGCAAGGGAAGGCTCTCTGTGTAACCCAAACACCATACTATTTAATATTTAAGGTTGGTGCCACACAACATAACACAACATGTCACATTTTTCCAGGAGTGCCACAGTGGCTCTGACTAATTAGTTACATTGAAATCTGCACACACATTTAGAAGCAAAGTTGTGACAGTGTCAAAATAGCCATTTGGATTCATTCTAAGTTAAATAATCCTACTTACATTCAATGAAACTGGTCTGCTCTGCTGTCACATAGGCCAACTGTTTTACCATTTGTCTCTCCTGTTGCCTATTAAGAGGAAACAGACAAGACACAAATTTAAAAAAATCTTGATTAGAAAATTGAATGTAAATCTCTGATGTCCTTGTAAGAGATGTGGCCTGATTCTCCTCTCTCAAAATTGCAAGCAACTCCTTTTGGAGAAAATGGAATAATGCCAGCATAAGATCTAAGCAAAAACAGAACTGGTTAGCTGTGTTCGTCTGAAGTCAGGCAGAAGGTAGGGTAGGATAGTACTTTAGAGACTAACTCGCTTAGGCATAAGGTGACAGCCTACTTTATCAGATGCTGATGATATGAGCTGTTGCCCATGAAAACTTATGCATCTCTGAACAAGTTAATTTTTAAGGTGCTATCCTGTCCAGCCTCCTATCTAAGCAAAAGAGAATTAGGCCCATGTATGGCTGCCAATAATGCAAAATTAAATGGGTCTGTGTTTTATTAGTATTATTTGATCAAGTCTACAGACAAGACAAAAACTACAACAGATGCAAAATCTGGATCTTGTGCAAAATAAATGCAACTTCCTGAAAGGTTCAGTAAATGAAATAGATGGACAAAGCATACAGGAAAGTGGGTCTGAGATATGGTAATTTCCCCTTCTGCCTATAAGGATGTTCACAGTAGTGATAAACGTGGTAACAAACAGCTAGAAAACAAGGTGGGGATTCCTCAAACAACTGAGGCAGAAGGTCTGTGCTTTGTTTTTGCTGCCTGGCTATGAAGTCTCATGAGTTCTGACTTAAAAAGATGAAGCACTGGAGTTTATTTCTTTGTGGAGGCTTCCACCTTACCATGAGTTCTTTTGGCAATCTGGAAGCCCCTTTGGAAGTGCAATGTTGTTTGAAATAGCTAGGGCAGTGGACATGCTGGATTCCAGGGTGAGAGGACTAGTGTGTACGTGGGTTATTCAGATTTGTTGTAAAATAAAACACCAAACTTTTTTCTCGCATAACTCTGGGTGTGTTATAAATAGTCCTGGCCAGCATAACATCTGTCCAGACAGAACAGACTTTCCTAATAGCCAGTGCATGGGAAAGCCATGGCAATAGTGGGTTAGGAACAAACAAAAAGCCTAATACAGGAATATTCTTAGATAACATCACATGAATTTGATGGAATGCCTTAACAGATGGCACAACTTTAAATTTTATAGAGTATAATGGTACTTAAACCACCAAACTGTTTGGCTCCTTTTCTGAGTGCTGGGGGACAGTAACACTAAAAGAGAATGCTACAGTGCTGGGGGTAAGTTAAATCTGCATACTTTTTTGTCTTCCTTTTGAGTATAGAAACTGGACATTCCCTGGCAGTCTGAGAAGGACAATGAGTGACCAGGCAATAAGAAAATGGGGATACCAGCTTAACTAGCTAATATTATTTTTATAATTGATCTATCACATAGAAGACTAAAATTTGTTTAGCCTTTTAACGTAGATAGGCAGAAGTCTCAACCAAGGCCCTAAGAGTTAGGCCTGTATACCTAAATTATTGGCATTAGGCAATTTCTGCCTCTCTGGCATCTCCATCTTATTTTCCTTATTTTCTTTTTAAGGAAGGAGAGATTTTTATATAGTTACTGACTCATTTGATGCTATTGCTCTTTTAGGTACTGAGCGAACCTAGAAAGAACAGATAATTTATTTGCTGGGTTTTTTTTACATAAGCAGCCTGTTGTCTCATATATTAGAATAATTTGTTGACTCTGTGATGAATTTCCGCTGGTAAGAGCATAATTTGCAGCTAAAATAATGTAATATACATTTAAAAATAGAATCCCCCTCCTCCAAGCCAACCTATATAAAAAGCAGTGCTGTGGGTCCTGCAGAGCAGGGGTGGTTGATTTTTAGAGTGCTTTCCTCCCCGTCCTCCCCCCAATACTAAGGACCTAAGCTTTTGGACTGCTGAACATTCGCAATTCCAACACGTCCGAGGCTTGGGAATGCTCGGCACCTCTGAAAACTGGACTCCAGGTCCTTCAGTTTGGACACCCAAACAAGGAAAGACCCCAAATCAGCACCTAGCTAACATTGATGGTTGAAGTGATGGAGATAAAACATAGGGGTGCTTGTATATGTGATGCCATTACCATGTACACATGACAAAAATGTTACTTTGTGTGGCTTAATGGTGTCATGCTGTACATTAGGGCTGTGTGAAACGGCACCATTCCATTTTGATTTGCATTTCAAGGTTTCAATAGAACAGCATTTTTGTTTTGAATTTCGTTTTGATTCGAAACAGCTGTTCCGTTTTGTTTCGTCGAAACAGGGAGGCTGTTTCGACATTTTGCCCATACCCTATAATGGGGAAGCTTGAAACAGCCTCTCTCATCCAGCAGGCAGATCAGGGGCCCAACCCCAGGAGGGCTGCAGGGGCTGAGCCAGTCCTCCCGGAGTTGCAGGTTCCCGATCTGCCTGCCAGATGAAGGAGGGACGCCGCCTGGGACCGGGGAGCTGGGGTAGGGAACTGAGCCACATCACTTAGTTCTCCTCCCCAGCAGTGGGATCGATCAGGGAAGGGAACTGGGGCTGAGCTGAGTGCTACCATCCGGCTGGGGAAAGGAACTCAGCCCAGATGAGCTGTGTTTCCCTCCCCAGCAGGATGATTGTTTCCCCAGCCCGATCGTCATTCTGGGGAGGGGAACTTTAAATAATTTTGCATTGTTGCAAACTAAACTACATCCTGATGTGTTACAGTTATTAGTCAGCTTGCCCCCTGGTGGTAGGAATGGCAGGCCGGCTCTGCAGAAAAAAAGATCAGGCCCCTTTATTGCTTTTGCCTTCAGCAAGGCCCCTTGCCGTAACAGTGAAGGAAATCCCTAAATTGAAGCAGTGGGTTTCAATTAAAAACCTACTATTTCAAATAAAAACCCACTATTTCAATTTAGGGGGTACAATGTAACCCTAAGGACTAAACCTCCCTAATGTGTACAAGCGCCAGACACTGCTTCCAGTCACTCAGGGTGGAGGCAGACTCACAACACAGCTTCTTCAGAAATGACTGAAGCCAGAAAGAGAACCAGTATTTGCAAGAAACAGTGCAGAGACCAGGCCCTCTCTGGGCTTTTCTTTTGATGAGATATCAGCGCACAACTCGTGCCCACTGTAGGTCTTCTCTTCTTCCATGTCTGTGTGCTGTACTCATATTTTCCTTCTATTTCTTTCCCACGCTGGAAAGTTATTCCTGAAAAGACTTGAATCAAAAGTTCATTATATTAGCCAGCAAATGGTACCTTAAATATGCTTTCTCCCGTGCTCGCTGCCTTTCAGTTTCACTACCATGTGCTTCATGAGGGTCAATGGAGATTGACTCATTCTTAGACTTTTCATAAAGCTGGCTTTCATTAACAATGTACTTGTAGAGGTCTCGGCTGTTCTCACAACAAAAGTTCTGGGAAGCAAAGCAGTAATGTTACACCAGAGTGAAGTTCCAGCTCCATAGTGAAGCTCTGCTAACACCTTCTAATAGCTTACCATTTGGTAATCTTTTGAGGTGGGGTCAGTATATTCATAGGAAGGGAATACCTTCAGTGGGCTGCCACAGTACTCGCATACTGGAACACATTCTTCTTCTATCTACAGTGTGCAGGGTGGGGGGAGGAAAATTAATATTTGTATGTTGATGCAATCAACAATTTGTCATCCTCTTGTTATCTTAGAAACAGGAGACACTGCTCAAAACTCTGTTTACAGTATGTAAATATAGTTAAAGCAAAAGGTCTTAAATGTATTTTCAATACACCTCTGCTATGCATCACTAAATTCTCACCATGTTGCACAAAAGTGGACGTTATCATGTCTTGCAATACTTGCCCATGCTCAGCATAGAGAATATTGCCAACGAGTAGATAGGGGTGTTGCAGTACAAAGAAAAGTTTGCTACAACAAATACAACATCTGGGATCTTGTTATTCATGCCTGAGAATATTTTCTTTTCTAACTGGCAAAAGCTAATATGATTATTGACCAAAGTGGTTGCATACTATAGCACTGCTTGGACTCCCTGAACAATCCTATATCAGAACTGCTGTGCTAATATCTCTTACGGAGAGGTGGGATATTCTGAAAGCTTATCTATCTGCTTCTGTATCTATCTCCCTTCAAAATGCATATAGAATTAAATGTATTTTAATTACAAATTGTACACTTAGCAAGCTTATGCATTTGTTAAGCTATTTGCCATCAATATTCATTCTAAAAAGCACAGTTTTGATGGGGCTATCTGGGGGAAAAAAAGCTATTACTTAGGAGTAGGGGTGTAAGGGCTTAGATTACTTATTGTATCTATTTAATGTCCTGCTTGATCAGCTTGGTCTGTTCAATAATAGAAGTGAGTGTGAAAGAAAACATGGGGGTAGCCTCAAGGCTGCAGCTCCCTCACAAAATCCACAATGCTTACTCCTTCCCTTGCCTACAATTTGTAAGTATTTTGGTTCTTGTTCAACTTCTTAGGTTTGCTTTGGGCCTCAGGTTTGCTGATAGAGCTATGCTGGCCAGTCCCTTGACTAGAGAGGAAGCTAGTATCAGCAAGATTATGCTTTTGCCAACATAAAACCAGGTCCACAAAGAATGAGGAATAATGGCTAAAAAGCTTTGGCTGATAAACTGCACCTAACTCATAGCTTTTGCCAGCCTTATTATTTTGGTTAGGGGAGAGAAAAAACAGTCCACAGATTTCATAGACATTAGGGGCTGGAAGGGACCTCATGAGATCATCGGGTCCAGCCTCCCCGCCATAGGTGGCAAGTCAGCTGGGATCAAGTGACCCAGCAAGAAATATATTCACCCGTTTTTTGAAAGAGTCCGGAGTATATGCTTGGACCACCTATGGGGGGAATTTGTTCCAGACCTTGGACACGCGTAGTGTAAAGAACTTTTTTATGTCTAGTCTAAATTGGCCTTCCTGGAGTTTATGGCTGTTAGACCTTGTTATCCCTTGGGGAGCTCTGGTGAACAGCTGTTCTCCCAGGTCCTGATGTACCCCTCTTATATAATTGTAGGCTGCTACCAGGTCACCCCCGAGCCTTCTCTTCTCCAGACTGAAGAGTCCCAAGTCTCTCAGCCTTTCCTCGTACGGCCTTCCCTCCAGGCCTTGGATCATGCGGGTGGCTCTCCTTTGGATTCTCTCAAGCTTCTCCACAAAAAAGAAGCTTCTGCCAAGCTGGTGGAACAGGGGCCGAAGCAGTGCCGCAGGGTTTCTGTTACAGGGAAAAGTGTTACTGAGATCCCCCTCCCCACCCTCCAGGTAACTGTACTACAGTAATAAAGAAAGAGCAGATAGGCAATGCAGTGGAAGCATGCTGATTAGAAAACTAAGGAGCAACCCCTGTGTGTTGTTGGGGAAATCATATCACTGTAAGGGATAGGTTTTAGGGAAATATAAGCCCAGCTTCTGAGCCAGAATAGGTGGTTTGGCCCTGACCTTAGCAGGGACAAGGATGCCTAGGAATCCAGGCAGCTAGAGAATGAAGTGGAGGGAAGTCCAGGAACCTGGGAGAGCTGGAGGGAGTACCAGCTAATGGTGGGGTAAGAGTTTGCAGGGTTCTATTCTTGCGAGTCTGTTAAACCTCCTTGAGGCTTGGGAGTGGTTAAGGGGTGGCTGGATGCCATGAAAGGGTACACTGGGGGGGGATGTAATGAATAAATGTAGTTTGTAGAGGCTGGCAGCTCTGTAAAGCTAGAGTGGATGCTAGGAAAGTTGCAGGTGTTCTAGATAGCAGGCATAGGACATGAGCCTGGTCTCTGGAGAGCCGTGAGAGGAGCACAGAGTGCCTCAAGCAGGGGGCTGAACTAAATGACCTCCTGAGGTCCCTTTTAGGTCTTCTTTCCTATCATTCTATGAAAATAAAATTGTATTACCTCCTTTTTAGTGACATAATCAGACATTGTCCTAGAAACATGCCACCAGCATGGGATACTATGGATGACTTGTATAGTGTGAGACATATTTTTGTGTACAGATTACACATTTTAATAGCCTGACAAACAAAACCTCTCACTGCTACTGAATCCCCTGTGGCACATTAGGAAAGCAGCATCTTCCACAGCTTTTATGGAAGCTTTTTTAGCTGTCTCCCTTCCCTCCACTCCAGCAGCTCACAGGAATTAATGTAAACCATGTAACAGAAAGGAAAGTCACCTCTATCTGCATGTTTTCTCTTGATGATTCTGGCTTATATGCTAGAAGAGCTGGTAGCCCAATGCAGGGGAGTGTCCACAGAGATTCCTCAAACAGCTTTACAAAGTCTTCATTAAACTTAGATGAGAGAAGAAATACAGTGAAAGGTCAGATCATTGTTCAGAGGGGAAAATGGTTAAGAATAAAATGCATTATGGTAACAACTAGGTGTGCCATACCTCTGTGTCACATAAGATACCTATGCTGGCAAGTTCTTGTGACGGGGCTACCAGCATATCTAAATAGCAACAGTGAGAATTAAAATGTTACATTTCAAAGAAAGCATGACTTTCTACAATACTGGATAACCATTCTTCCTTGTTTTTTCAAGACACCTCCCCTTCCCACTCAAAATGCACACCAGGGGCTTTTTGGCAGAGATCTAAACCAGGAATAGGGTTGCCGTCCACCTATGTGGAGGCCTCTTCATTTTCTAATGGGAACCATGGATACTGTCATGCTGAAGCACTGCATTTAAGAACAGGCTTAACTTTAAGCAATGGAAATGTTCTCTGCTTAAAGTTAAGCAAGGTTAAAGTGATATAGTATCTAAAGCAGCCCCAGACTTTGCTGGCTTGTGAAGCAAGATACTGGGAGTTTGGGAAATCCTGTCGCACCTTCTACTCCACGCCCTGTCAGTACAAGGCAGCTCTCTTCAGTCAGTTTGTATATACATGTGCCATAGGATGGGGTTTCTACCACTTTGCTCAGACAGCTGTTCTTCAGACCAAAAGGTCTGGTTGGCAGGAAGCTTTCTCTGACTTCCAGCTAAATTTTATCTCGTTGCTCATACAATTTATCTTCCAATTCATCCTTTGCTTTCTTCCCATGCTTATTTTCCTCATCTAGCTGTTGGTTATAAGCCAGGTAAATATCTACTTCTTTTAATCTTGTGCTTCAGCTTCTCTAACCAACCCCTAACTATTTTAATAGCTTTTTACCACACTCCTTTCTGGTTATTGGTATCCAGTAGCTATGGGCCAATTTTTCCAGAATTGACTGCAACCCCGTAGTAGAAAAAGTGAAAACAAGTTACCAGTTTTAGAAGTAGAGTCAACATGAGCACTAGTCTTCTCGAATTCTTTCATCTTCCTCTGGCCTGAAATTAGAATATGTGTTTAACAGTGACCCACATGGGGATAATGCATTTGATTATCTTAAACAAAAGAGCCCCAGAGAACACGTGGTTTGAGGAGAAGCAACTTTAGGGAGGCCAATGCAGTCAGCAGGGCCCTACAACATGGCTAGCAGGCTCTCTAAAACAGTAATGTGCTGTTTTGTTGGATACAATGCAGCGTAGAGACATCTGAGTTAGAATGAGGTTCACTAGCTGGGACACCAGCAGTAATCTAGCTCTGGCAGGGCAGGGGCTTAGCAGGGGCTAACACCCAAGCTATGTGTCTTCCTAACTGCTTGGGCAGATTTTGCAGGTAGTGCTGAGTTCTGAGCTGTTGCATTCAGATGCCTGCTAAGGCCCAACCTTGTTAGTTAAAAGCTTGTTCAGGGACCTCTAGATCACAGCACAGCCACAGCAGTGTAGATATAGTAGTGTAGCCTCTAGTGAAACTTCAGGTTTCTGGTAATGCTCTTATTAGCTCTGGTATTCCTTTCCACAAATGTATTTGTACTGAATTTCATGACTAAGTGCACCTGTTATGACTCAGAGCAGCACATTCCTTTCCCCTTAGGAGGATGGCTGATAGCTGGTATTATGGGGCCTAAGCTCCAAATCCTGTCGGCACCCTTTGGGTGCCTTGTGCTTCTTAGGACCTGCTGTAAGGGGCAGCACTTTCTGCACTGTCCTAACAAGGGCTGTAAATGTGCCTAGTTCTTGCAAAGAGAACACAAATAAGTGGGGTGTACCAAAAAAAAGATGGGGCCAGGCACAGCCTAGCCCCAATGGACTGATCCCTAAAGGCAGTTTCATGCCTTTTGTCTGATTGCTTAAGGAGTTAATAACTTGAATCGCATGTTTGCATGACTTGTTTGAGCAGGAGAAGGAAACATACAGTGTATTTGTAACTCTATTTAGAGGCTTTGAAAGCATCTCCTATAGAAACACAATAAACAAGCATCTCTGTCATAAGCAGAGAACTCCCATGCACACTGTATATTCCTCTACCAGCTAAACAGTATCATGTGTTTGATCATTTAAACATGTGTTGGAAGTAGTGTGGTATAGTATTTACAGCAAAGTCGTCAAAACTCCTAGGTTCTGTTCGCAACTCTGCTAAGAACTGACTCACTGCAGGACCTCAGTGTTAAGTGTTAGCTGCATCAAGTTATTGCTCTGCAATACAGGCAGTCCTCGACTTACAACATTTTGAGTTACAACATTTCGCACTTACAACGTTTATAAATTGACACCCTATTTCAGCTTTCTGACGTCAGTTTTGACTTTACAACGCTTGATCCGAACCGATGCCATGCCAGGGAACAAGTTCGTTGCATCACCCATCTCCCTAGAGAACATCTGTCCAAACTTCCTTGGACACTTTTTTTAAGAAAGCAGACAAGACTCCAGAAAAAAGCTACAGCCAAGACTCCTGAGAACATTCCAGCCAAGAACCCTTCAAAAAGTCCACCAAAGTGACCTCAAGGAAGTCCTTCCAAATCAACATGATTGCTATTTACAATATAAATACATTAATATAGCTAGATTACTCACCTATAATTGATCGAGTACAAAATTCTGGGGTATTTTTGGTGAAAATAGGGTATCGGGCCTTGGTTCAGGAACCAATCCCCCATTTATAACATCAGTTCCAAGTTACAATGTTTCAACTTAAGACATGGTTTTCAGGAACCAATTGTGCTGTAAGTCTGAGGACTGTCTGTAGAATGAACTGCTAAAATATTTAGTTACAAGGCACCTTGCATGTTTTAAATGTGCAACTGCTGTATTACGTGTTGTCTCTTCTATAGTAAGCAGCTAATATTCTAAGTAACAAAGCCATTTCTTACTTAGTTTTCTGTAGACATGTTCATAAAGCCAGCTAGTTTCTGTCTGTATCGACACTGAAATTCCTAAAGGCTTCTTATGAGCAGAGGCATCAACGTAAGCAGACATTTTTCTTTCACTTAAATTAAGACATAAAATTGCAAATTAATCATACATAGCTGCTGCAAAGAAGTTGCTTTTCGTGAATCTATTCATGCAGGAGATTTTTTTTTCCAAACCTGAGCGTTTGTTAAACAGCTGGAAATTAAGAGCAGTTATTCCTATGCCTTGTTTCTTATATATACATTTTTACTGTCTCTAAGATACGGAGACTTAATTTCCACAGTCTGCCTCTGAAAGTTGCAATGTTCTAGGCAATAAAATGCTTTTGGAAAGGGGCCTTGAAGGTTAAACTGTGAACAATGCAGGTTGGATTCCTTCTCCAAACATTGCAACCATTTTGTTCTTTACTAGCTCACTTCAGAAAGTTGGTAGAAAAGAAAATAATGGACGCTAGATTTGTCCTATATGTCAAAGACTTAAAAATGTGTTATCTTCTTCCATAGTAAACACTGAGATGAAATGTGTAAGGGGTGGGAACCCAGAATTATTCAAGCCAGTATTGTTAGGTTCACTGTGAAGGTTGAAGCTCCAACATTTAACTTCTCTTACTGCATTTGATCACAAAAGTCCTGTTAAGCATCTGTTTGCTTTTTTAAATCAATCCCACCACATCAGGAGTAGGAACAAACTTACAAACAACAAAGCAACAGAGGCAGACATGTGGAAGAAAAGAAAACTAGGAAACCAAAATAAATGTTAAGCACAATGTACTGTGAATAGCACTGAGTTCAATATCCATAAATCAGCTTGAGTATCCTCTTAGATCTCTAGTACCTTCCTTCTGCAGTCTCTCTCAGCTATGCTGGTTGATCTAAAGTTAAAGAATAAGAGGGAAAACAACTGATAATTCCTTTCAGAGGCTTCTTTCTTCTGCAGGATCTGATAGGGCTGTGCGAAACTTCGGTAGCTGATTTGATTCAGAGGAGATTTGGCCTAATTCGGCGGCTGAATCTCCGAATCTGAATTGAATTGGGAGACCCATTAAATGGTCCAAATCGAATTGGAAGCCTCCAAATCAATTTAGAGAGATTCAGAGATTCGGAAGGCTTGCAGCAAACAGAAACTGGGAAGAGGGAGGAGAGGGGGTGATCTTTCATGTATGGAAAAGGCTGAGATGTGGAAAAGGACTGCTCTGGTCGTGATGACTGGGGCTGGCCAGTGACTGATCTTTCTCTAAGTTCCCTGCTGTTTTCATCCTGTCTGCCTTAACATACACAAGTGATATGAGTTTTGCTTTCAATAGTTTGAGGTGCACTTTCACAGAAACCCCTGCACCTATTTCCTTGAAAGGTTGCAGACTTCATGCCCTCAGAAGGGGCTACCATACCTGTTGTTTTCATTTGAATCTCCAAAACAATGATAGTTATAGGTAGTTTAGTGATTTTCCCATTATACTCTATGGCTGAATCTCCAAATGGGTGCTAAATTTTCAAATCCAAATTGACTGAATCAAATTGGGACAGTGATTCGAATCACTGAATTTAATCACTGTCCCTCAAATCCAAATCTGAAGCGAATACGTGCTGCTTCACACAGGCTTAGCGTCTCATGCAGCTTTCTTGGATCAACTGTGAAAGTTTTGGCCTGCTCAAAAACACAAAGAAAGTGACTTGTGTGGAACAAGTGAGTGGTATCAGTCCAGGTTTACAATATAACCACCAGGCACAGCCCAATTAATGGGCTGTACTGTTGCCTGTTCAAGTAGAATTTAAAACAGGCTAGATATGATGCCCTTTCATCATTCCAGAGCCATGATCGCTCCAAGCCCAGGTTAAGGCCTGTATAGTAGTATATGATAAAGCCAGTCAAGCTGCATGTTCCAGACCTTGCTGATAACCATAAAACTATATTCTCCGTGGCTGTCACACATCTTAGACAAAGGCCTAAAATAAGCTTGAAATACAAAATACATTCTGATGAGGAAAGCCAGTGAAAAGTAAAGAAGATTTGTAAATAGTTCCCTTGTTAATTCTAAGTTCCTCAGCACATGGCCTCATTTCAACAAAGACAAGTTCTGCGGTAATATTTCACATGCTTACCTGCTTAATTTGTGTAATGAGAGGAAAGAAGTTTCCTTTCTAATTCCTCCTAATATTCCAAGAATCCCTTTGGGACCTGTTGAACACAAATAAACTAATCTGTGTTGTGTATTAATTCCAAGTAGTTTAATAATAAGTGATTAAACACCCAGTCTCCAGTGTGTTTCCTGGCATGAGTATTGGTCAGAATTTGATTTGTGGTGAAACTTTTAAGACCTTGAATTGAAGTTAAAAGGAAT